AATAGCAGGCTCTGTCGTATGGAAATAAATTTATTTAGTTATTAATCTGAGAAAAATAATGAAGATATGTTGGTGTAAGTTACGAGACATAAATCTCCTAAATTAGTTTAATGTTGCAAATGGAAGGTCCTTCAGGTTGGAAATTGTAAGGTCCCCTTTAATGTAGCAAATTATAGAGAGGTTGATTAAAGGCAAAAGGAAAAGGGACAATAGTTAAGCGCATAATTGCATTAATAATCCTTATTATGGTAATGGCAATCAAAAGACGCTGTTTTACACGATAATTCTATTTATAATAAACAATTCGAATTTCACCGATTCGGAGTAGTATGATGAATAGCTCCTCCATATATAATAACGAGTACTTTCACTCGTAAATATAACGGTTTATAAATATGCCTATTTTAATATTAGTATCTTAGAAAAAAAATTGATTCGAAAACAAAACAACCAAGTTGAAAAAAAGCCTAGTATCTGAGATTTATTTATCGAGTATTTTTAAGAGAAATGTTTAGGATACCTGAAAACAAAGGATTAAGCATATAACTATTTTTAACTTTTTTGCGAGTAAACACTTTCAGATAAAAAATCTTACAAACTAAAACAAAGTATTAATCAAAATCAATTATTAATTGACGAAGATATGACTAAACTTATATTACAGAAATAATATAAAATTTATGGGTAATTTGCCAAGTGCGTGTAGATAAATGTATTTTCAAATATCACATTGCAGATGTTTGGGTAAAATGTACGGTTTCTTCGCGAAGCATAAACTTTATTTACGATCGAAACAGAAATATGAAGGTCCTATGCAAATATGTCAAGTATTGATATAACTCGGCTGACATGTGTAACGGCACTAGGTATGTATTATGCGTTACAATCTTTCCAGTTTTGCTCTACTTTTTAATACATTCTGGAAAGTACGAACAGCTCGCTGATTCGGAAGTTATCTGGTTGTGGGGCCAAAATTTTTAATCTGCTTCGTGTTAAGTAAAGCATGATGGTGATCAGCACTGTGATTTAAAAAAAATCCAAACCAGAGTTCTAATTCACCCAGGTATATAATAAAACTGAAAAAAATTATGCCTGATTTCTTTTCAGTTTTATAATATACTTCAGTCAATTTACATAAAAGCTTTATAAATTATGCGGCTAAATCTTTTCATAAATAATTCTATCTATTGGTGGAAATCGTATTAAAGTCTACTCGACCGTTCGTGGATTAAAGTGTCAGTAGTATTTCTGAATTAATATGTCGGGTATCATATTATAAATTCAAGGCACATGACTTCCGTGGCTTACACACCGGTTTAAAGGTCGCCATGTCTGAGGTCCCGGGTTCGAAACCCAAAACCTAGTTCACAAAATGCGACAACGAAATGAATTGTTTTGTTTTTGTAGGTCTATCCTAGACAATTTTCTCTATTAGAAAACCATATTTGATAATTTTTTTTAAAAGGTTTCCCCACTAATAACAAGTCTTAAAGTACAATAAGTTTTTTTAAGCGTATTATAATTATGAAGATAATTATCAAGGTATATTAATCAATATAATTATAGGGATATTTATCACTGATAATTATTACTCCAACCCTGCTAATAAGTACATGGCAAAGATAATACAATACAATAATTTTCAATTTAAATATTATTATATATGATGTGATTTATAAATTAATGCAGTTTTGTTTTTCTTCGTTTTTTTTATTTATTAAGGCATACACAACAGACTTCAATCATAAAAATTTACATCACATGAAGATCTTCATAGATTTTAAGCTAGACTGTCATCCTTAAATGTGTTATCCACAGATTAAAAAACCAGTTTCAATGATTTTATAGAATAATTTTTACATTAATAAAATTCATTACATTAAAAATTATTAAAATTATATTAGACAATATTACTGCATTAAAAAAGTATCACATTAAAAGTAAAAGTCATAGTTTAAATTAAAATTACACAATTCAAAAAAAAATTTGATACGTTATTATTATACACGTATTAGCACGTTAAGCCACTGCATTTCCAGTCGTTAATACCCTCCCTTCTGCATTGGACCAGCGTGGAGGATCATGACCCATTCTCCTTAGCCATCCACAAGGAAGGCTTAAGTTACCTGCGTATATTTTAATGCTATTAAAAGAAAATTCTGCTAACGTATTTCTGCACCTACCTTTGTGTACATACGCACGCACTGTTCTGACAACATTTCGCTGTCTGTCAATGGGGAATGTCATCAATCTGAATAATGTATGTCGTATAAACGTAGCATATTGTCAACGTCGCTTTCCAGATTAGATAGCCTCGTCACTGAATGTTTGCCTATGGTGGTCGGCCATGTTTGAACAGGCCAGGGTTGTTGATTGAAAACCATGATATACTAAATGTTTAATACCGCAGGTAATATCGAACCTTTCCGTTATGATTTATGAGTGCATTATACGTTGAGACTGATTGCTATCCTAAAATTTATATTGGGAAAGTAACTAATTTGAATAGTTTATCGTGTTTGATATTTCAATCTATTTTATGATGTATGTACTCGTGTATGTATAGACTTGTCATATTATTTATAATGTTTGATATTAGGGTTTCTATGCCAAAGAGCATTGTTTTCTGGTGTACTAGATTCATGTTAAAAATATGTTAAATGAGATTGAACTGATAAGATAACACGATAAATGGTAAATAAAACGTAAGTTTATCTGTTTGTTTTCTTTTTACAATATTAGCTTTATAAAGTTTGCTATTTATACCATGTTTACATGTAGACCTTACTACGATATTTGTTAGAAAAGGGTCGTAAAAGTCAAAATCAATAATTTTGATAAATAATAAATATATTCGCGTACAGTTTCTAATATAGCTGTAAAATCGTTATAACTTTCATAAGATTAAAACAAAAACACTTTTTAACTCTAAACTAGCTCGAATAAACTTAAAATGAATATTCACTTATTCCGTTCTGAAATTGCAAGAAAGCATAAACTGAGTGCATATACAATATTTGTTGCTATGAAATGTCCATTCCCTACGGAACGGTTAATATTCTTTATTCTACGTATATGAAAGGTTTTTTAAACTTTGCAGTAACATTTATTGCCGATTAATATTTAGGATGCCGTTTAAAATTGTGCATTTGCGTTTAAAAACTATTCCATTGCTTTTTATTTGGATTTAATATAATCTTAATTTACTTTTATGAAATGGCGTGACTTTTATGCTGGAAACTATATAGAATATCTTGTATTTAGGGAACTATTCCTAAGCTTCATAAATGTAGGCGACAATATTGAAAACATACCACCCCAAAACGATAAACATAACAAAGTAGTTTCACGTTGTTATGTGGATTAATGCAACATCTACAACGTTACACGTCAATTCAATATATAAAACGAGTTCATATTTTATTAAGTCAAGTAAGTAAAATAGCGTAAAGTTATAAACGTTAGAAAACGCATATAGGATTCTAGTAATGTAGTATGAGACTTGTTATTCCTAGTATTTGTGTACCTAATATAATAACTGAATGTTTCATTCGAATATTTGGCAAGCTTCGATTACCGCAAACATCGAATGAATTCCCAAAATGTTCTGTGTTTACGTTCTTTGTTTACATAAGATCGAGTGAGGTGACTTACAGCTAGTGACACAGAGCGAGTTGGAACTCCAGGCGTTTTAATGACCCCATAATTTGGTACCGCGGAGACCCTTTAAATTCTGGCAGTTGACTAAATTTAAGGTGTGCGGCGTATTTTATTTCCTTGTTGGACATTATAAGGTCACACGAGTTCAGAATTGTAGTAAAAATTATGACTAAATCAGATTGCAAAGGACAAAATTACCTTAAAAGTTTGAAATTTCAATCAAACAATCCTCCCCTTAACAATATAGTCTTAATACTGCAAAATAATCTTGTTTTCGCTATAGCTTAATTTAACACTTTCCCCCATTTCCGTATATCAAAGCTGATTATATTACCTGCACTTTCCTATTAATAAACATTTCCCCTACTTAGTTAATTAAACGGGATAATTTTTGCGCGCACGCGATCACTTGTTAAGCCGTGCTATACCAACATAACACATTTAGGCTGATTTCACACTGCGTATAACACGCAGATTGGTTATTTATACATGAAAACGCCAAAACGTATACAATAAAGAATTTCTGCTCGAAATTCCAGTTTTCGCGATTTCGTGTTATATTTTATTGCGGTTTCAGGCTAACGTTTGAATGCATGCTTTTGCGTGCGGTCTCAGCCTTAATCCGAACGGAGAGAGGGTAGCGTGACTGCGTTATATAACACGTCCCAATTAATTAAGCAGGTCGTTACAATTATTATTAAGTAAATCACATTAGAGCGTGTAAGTGTTATTTTTAGAGATGTGCCGAATAGTGGTTTTACCGAATAATATTCGGTTTAACTTTACCGAATCGGACATTCGGCCGAATTATTCGATTTACCCATTTTATTTTTTTTATTTAGCCAATGTTTGTAAGTGCTCCTTGTATAGCTTGTGAATAGAGAACAATTATTTAGGAAGCAGGGAACCTGTATGAAGACTATAACCCAACAAACTTGCTGGAAAGAGCCGAGAGCTTGAAGAATATTATAATATTCATATTTCTATTATTTTATTTCTGATCTCTATTATATTTTTTCTTTAATTAATTAACTTTTTTGAACATTTTCTTAATAGGATTTCTTTGATTTATAATATCACATAAATCTCCAATAATATATTGTCTTTTATTTCTAAACCATGTCGTGTAGCCAAGAAAGTAGAAATATTCGAACCGAATATATTCGGCACCAAAATCGAATAATTCGGCCGAATACAAATAGTAGAAAAGATGCCGAATACCAAGCGAATTTTACAAACACTAGTACGACTGCTAAGAACGGAAAAACGGTAAACTTGTTGAATTTATCGTATCCGATATCTGTGAATGTAATTACGAGATTTTATTTCTTTTGTTTCAGGCGTGACAATGAGAGAAAAGAGGGGAGGCGCTATGAGTAAAATGCAAAAACTAAGAAAGCGCCTGTCCCTTAGCTTCGGTAGATTATGTGAGTATATTATTCAAATTTCCACGTGATGTTTTTTTTTAATATATTAAAGGGCAATTATTGGTGTCTGATGTACAGTGAATAGCACGTTAGGCTATACAAAAGTGACGAATTTCTCCACTAGATTTCAACTTTAATTTATTGAGAGTAAAAGTTCAAAATCATTTACAGTCCACATATTCTGGATAGCCCGAAGTGCAAGCTTGTGTACAGTTTATAAACTTAATGGTTATTTACCTATTTGATATTTAAAAACCTGTCAACATAAACGGGTTACATAGTGAAATACTTTTAATAAAACAATCTTACAGTTGGTTGAAGCGATTGTAATGATAAAGAATTTATTACATTATTATTTGTTTCGGATACTTTAGATTTGTAGACTCCGTGAGTGCTTACGTGACGTTGTCGTGCTGCCAGATACGAAGTCGAAACTGGCAAAGGCTCGATATCCGAAACGTCTAAAAATCCATTACTTATAGTATTTTTCACATAGCATTGGTACGGTGACGTTTGGGATTTGTAGTTTTAGGGAACGTGGTAATAAAAATATATAAATACAAAAATTCGATATTATTGGTTCATTTCTAATAATCTATTTTAAGGTTAATTTATAAATCAGGATTTAAGAAAAACATTTATTCATCAACTAGATGAAATACAAAAAAAATATAATTAAGGTTAAAACGATTTTATTGATTCAATCCCTATTAAAAAAAAGTTTCCATTTTCTTTACAAGTATTGATGTTTTAAACTTTAGAGTGTTAGATATCAGTAAATATGTCTATTAAAAATTTACTTGTATTTAATATGCAAATCTAAATAAATATCTAATATACACACAGTCAAACTATTTTTTAAAAACGATGGTTTTTAATTGTTTGGAAATAAAAAGTGCGTGAAATGGATTTGTTAACAAACGTCACCATACCTATGCTATTTGAAAAGTTAGTATTAATTTGTGTTGTTGGTGATGATAAGAAAATGCGCAGAAATATACGAAAATCTATTAGATATTTTTGGAATATAATATATTGAAATTACCATACAATAATAATTATATGGGAAGTTATTGACTGTGAAAGGTAGTTCCATGGTATTTCGTGTTTCAGATGACTGCTGCTCTAATTATAGAGCTATCAGACAATGATTGCATCTATTGATTAATATCAGCGTATTTATTCTTAAATATAAATATAGGTTTATTGCACTCTTAATCATAAAACATGGCATCTGACCTGATTAAACAATTAATACGCTTTCTTTTTGAATTAGTATAAAACATAGTTTTATAATAACACTTAAAAACGTAAAGTATAAAAATAACTATCAAGAGTTAATAAACTTTACGATTTACTCAAATCGTTGTCTTTAATATTTTAACTTTGATTACCCGAAGGTTTATCAAACATGCATACTTGAATCAGTATGTTTAGTGTTAAACTTTAATTGGTTTTCTATAAAATGAGCTTTTACAATTTCTAGTTGTACTCAATACGTTATATCTTATAGTGTAGACTTGTATAATGCAAATTTAAAAACTCAGTGCATCACTAATATGATGCCATTTAAAAAAAATATTCTATGACGTTTTACCTATTGACATCGTATTATCACCTAAGTGTAAAATATTTACGTACTTAATATTTATTTGACAGTGAATTTAGTAGTACTGTGTTAACCATTTTAGTTATTTAACATCAAGTCTCATGATCAGGTTAAAGGATCCGAAATTAACTTAAACTAGTCAATTTATTTAACAAATACTAAGGTGCTAGTATAAAAAATATCAATTGTGTGTATACAGTGACTGTACTGTTCTATTACAATCGATATCCTCTTTATACCTGGACGAATCGGATATAATGTCATGCATGACTAATAAGCCTAGAATGACGTGAAACATTTTTTTTTTCACTGTACTTCTTGGTGCCTGTGATTTCGCGAGCATAATACGTGTTGTTACGATAATGGCAGACTTTCATTAGTATCGTGTATTATGTGCCCTTGAGAATTTAGATCTAATACTATTATACATAAGCGTTAGATATTGCGATTTATCAACGTCAAAATATATTTATTCAAATAAACTTACTTAAAATATTATTGAATGTTCCAACATTTTCCCCTAGTACTCGCTCATTATATTAAATATATACGGTAAGTGTTATTTGCATAAATGGCTATATCTATAGAGGGTTTTGACCATGTTCTGTTTTTCACTACATAGTATAAAACAAAGTCGCTTTCTCTGTCCCTATATCCATATGTATGCTTAAATCTTTAAAACTACGCAAAGGATTTTGATGCGGTTTTTTTCATAGATAGGGTGATTCAAAAGGAGGGTTTTTTGTATAATAAAAGACCACGCGGGTGAAGCCGCTGGCGGAAAACTAGCTAAATATATATGGCAAGTTTTATTTGCATAAAATGGCTCAATCTATGGAGGTTTTGATCATTTTCGGTTTTTTTTAAACACCTATAATATTTTTTACAATACTTTTACGCCATTTTATCCAATTGTTAGTAACGTACTGTAATATTGATTGATACTATTAAGATTAGAGATATTCGGTATTCAGCGTATGTAATACTTGGTTTTGGATCCGAATATATTCAGTTCGAGTACTTATATTTTCTTGGCTACACAACACGGTATAGAATAAAAGACAAAACATCTTTTGTAAGATTTATGTTATATTAAAAATAAAAAAATAAAATTTATTATTTTTAATCAATTGTCTGAACATTGATGAAAATCCGCTCACTAGTAGTGGAAAGTGAAAAGAGCTTGAACAGTTCGTCAGTCCTTGAGAGTTTAAGCATTTTTCATTAAGAATATTCAAATTGAGATTTTTATTTGTATACTCATTAATATTTAAGGGGCAAATGACAAAAATAGACCCTATAACATATTAATACATAGATACCTATGTATAGACAGAGAGACACTTTAAAAATATATCAGAAATAAATAAAATCGTTCGCTATACATACTTTATATAGGTACTACCAGAAACAATGAAAAACACTCTGGCTAAATAAAAACAATGAAATGGTAAATCTTATAATTTCGCCGAATATCCGGTTCGGTTAAGCCTGAATCAAATATAATTCGGTATTCGGTTATTCGATTAAATATTCGTATTAGTTTATAAGCGGTTATAAGCTTTTAGAGCTTATAACCGCTAATACATTTATGTACACAACTAAGGACATGGGTTTATTTGAGTTTTTAAAATGATAATGTTTGTACCTTGCCTACGAAAATATATTGTGATAAATGATTTAAAGTAGACGCTTCGATGGTTTGGTATTATGGAGACACCGGATGAAAGAAGATTAATGAAAGAAAGTGTCTGGTAGCGTTTCTGTATACGTCGTCCGTGTGGAACTTTCACCGACGGTATGGTGATGATCTAAATAAGGGCTGTGTAAAGAACACCAGACACAGACGCCGACGTCTTAATAAGTGTGTTAGACAAGACAGAACTGTAGCGAGTGAAGATCGAGTGTATTTTTCTTAGTTATATCCTATTTTTAGGATTCCGTACTCAAAGAGTAAAACGGGTGACAAACAGTGAAGTCTTAAGTGAGTGGAGTATTAAAGACTTCGTTGTCTGTCACCAAGCTGAAACTTAGACAGTTGAAATTCACAGATGATCTAATGAATCGTGATAGTTAGACAGTTGAAATCTTCAAAGGTGTATTTTTGTTGCCGCTATAAGGAAAATACTAAAAAACAGAATTAAATATATATTTAATAAACGTGATTTTTTGTTCGTTTTCGGTACCTTTGTGCGTGAATCCGACTCGCACTTGGCCGGTTTTTGTATGTGTTACTCTTTAAAAAAATGTTTACTCTTATAATAATTATTTTAAATATCATTTTTGTTTAAATTTTATGAAATATTTACTATTTTCCTGTGTATGATGTAGCTTCCCGTAGGTGAAAGAATTTTCTTGATCAAATCAATATTTCTCAAGATAACCTTTTACAAACGAGCAAAGTTAGAAACTTTATCTCTTTATAATATTAGTCTAAAAACTTTACATAAGTCATAAAGTATCTAAGGGACAATTGTTACAATCCGTTCTCTTTACTTACCCCATAAGAGGTGTGAAGACATAGTATAGTATATCGAGATAGTAATTTCAAAAAGAAATGTTGTTATTGTCACCCAGACTGAATATTATACTACAAATATTGTCGTTAACGCCCTGCTAATCTGCTTATCAACATCGACACAAATATTTGTCACAAAATTACTGGAAAAACTAACACTGACATTTCCTAATTTTCTTAGAATACTTTTTACATCCGAATTTCTGAGCAACTGCTTAAAACATATATTTTATTATAATTGTTTATTGTGAAAGTTTAGTATGTTATTGTTTTGTGTTTAACAAACTTGTTTATTTGTATTGAAATCACCGAAGTTTACGTTTGAACAGAAGTCGATACGTAACACACGAGTTACGAGTGCTCTAAGCTATGTAATAAAAATCTTAAGGCGCAAATATACTATTTATTTTATAATCTATCATTACGCCTCACATACTCGTATGGATCTGAGCTATGTAAGATCTTCTCTCAGTCCGCACAGACATTCCTTTCGAGTATTTTCGAGTGCACTATGCCCTCCCAATCCCATGAAACGTAGATCATGGCCTTTTTTGAATGGTCTTCCTTCAGAAGTGTTTTAGATGTTCGTCGTCTCTTTCAGTTTTTCCGCATAGGACGTCGACGACACAAATCGTCACAATTTCGTGCTGTAGACCTCTGAAGTCTCAATCCTATGGCACCTCCGTATACATTGCAAATGTCCCGCTTACAGCTGCTTTTTTGGCGACGATGGAAAGGGAAGTAGATTAGGTGTCAAAAATATTACTTTTTACCTCCTGATGTTCGATTTTTAATACCTTAAAAGTAATAAAAATAATATGACTTCAAAAGACGATTAACACACTTCTGTAGAGCAAAAACAGCTTTATCGAA